CCTCAAATCGCAGGGCAACTGCTTCTCTATATAGATTTCCAGATAATCTAGCATATTTCTGTGCTTCATGGGCATATTTTTGTGCTTCCTGAAATTCACCGTTCTGATATTTCAGCACAACAAGGTTCACTGCTGACATGCACTGTAGCTTAGCATCTCCACTAGCCTTGGATAAAGATATTGCAGGATCTATGAATTCCCTTGCTCTGGCTATATCCTGGTGATTTATATAATATGTTCCAATAATGTTATACAAGGTGCCTATGAAGCAATCTGTAAGAGATGCAGTCAATAGAGAATATGGAACATACATTCACAATGTGGATCCATGATATGAATAAGACACTTCTGGGCTTGAGCTATTAATGCTGTGGGATCGCTGATGGGATATGTCCATGATGCAAACAACTCCTTGATGACCATGAACTCCAGTTGTGGATTGTTAACATGATTTAGCACAGTTTGAATATTGTCCATCAAAGGAATCCGGTTATGACCCATGAGTAAGCGGAAACGGTTAAGTTCGACTGTTGCTTTGATAGCTTCCTCCAAGCCAGGATTATCTTGATGTAGATCTGATATCAACATGTTTTGGACATTCATCAGGTTACAAGTTAAGCCATTAGCTGTTCTAGCACTTGACATGCTTCCGGAATATTTGTGCTGAAAGTCTAGAAGCTCATAGAAATATTTGCGAAGAGGCTGGATAAGGGATGGTGATGGAGGGCAGTGTGCCAGCATAAATTCACGAATAGGGACGAATGCTCTGAGCTGTCCTGTCACATTGGCATATGCCAATGATGTAGAGAGCAAAATGCTCTTGCTGGTTAGAATATCCTGGATCGGAGGCTTGCTTTGAACAAGTTCAATATCCAAAATTCCATCAGGCAGGATTGAAAGAATGCTCAAGAGATCTTTGGCACCTGTGGACACTCGAGGACTTGAAAGTGACAATTCAATAGATGCATCCAAGCTGAATCTTTTGTCATAACCATCTGAAAGCATTGAGGTCTTTTCTACTTCCCAACGAACCAAGATATCAGAACAACCCTCGTAGTCAACCAAATGAGCCATGAGATTCACGGCCAATGGTATGTTATCTGTAAGGAGGAGTAGCTTTTCAATATCCTCCTTCTTGTGGAAGTCATCTGCAATGTCGATGAAAGTTTGACAAGCAGCATCATGTGTCAATGGGCTCAAGGGAGGGAGGAATGGCCGTGTCCAAAGGACTTTGGCTGGTCTCTCTGCCCCACGCATTGTGATCTATGGCTTGATATTAGCAGATGTAAGCATGGGTTAACTGTGCACATACCACCAATGCAAGATGTGGTATATCAGCAAGGAGAGAAAGGAGCTCTTCAACCTGGCCACGAGTTGACAAGAGCTCCCAAGCAGTTTCCAAATTATCCAGAACCAGCAGAGAAGTGGGTTCTTTGGAAAGGTGGGAGATGACGGGTTTTGTGAGATCTTTTCCTGGTTTTAGTCCGAGGTGGGCTCCAATGAGGGCAGCAAGTTCAACAATATTGGTAACAGCCTGTGCTCCAATAAAGAACCGACTCTGATATTTGACCACAACATCTGGGTGGTGAAGAGCAGCTCTTGCCAGGCTTGTTTTTCCGATTCCACCCGCACCTAGGATTGCTATTCTGGGAGATTCATGTCTAAGAAGATCAATGACATCTTGAAGTTCTGTATCTCGGCCATGGAAAATTTGTGGCTGTGATGGTAACAGAGAAAGTGAGGTCGAGCTTTGAAAACTATTTAACTATAAATATAACTGGACACATTAACGTGTAAGGACGACATACCTGTTCCATGAGCTAGTCGATCCAGTTTGGATCTGGCAAGGAGTTCAATATCCAGTTCATAAGTATTGGAAAATGACACACAGATGAACTTCCATCCGAAGTGGTTCCGTCTGAAAGTGTCGCAATATATTCTAGTAATTCCTGGTGCTGTTCCTCTACCTTCTGTTGCATGTTCTTGATGCTCAAGACCATAGTGTTTTCAACCTTGAATTCATCATCAGCCCATGTGTGCTTTATTTAATTCAAAACCAAAGCTACCTTGAAGACATCAAGAACTTGCTGCATTCCTGATTGTGCCTCCTTTAGAATTTGATTCATCTCACTTTGATGGAAAAACTGTTTGAACTTGTTTCCATCCTGTTGGCCTTCCATAAACACATGGACTTTGTGAAGTATCCTGGGAGGTGAAGTGAGCAAGCTGGACTTGTATTAATGGAAATTCCAAACTCCATGAACTTTCCAATACTATTCAACACTGCTAATGGCAGTTCACCGCTAGTCTCTGATTTTATATGGAGGTCAATGATAGCATAAAGTATGCCACATATATGCTCCAAGAATTGGGTGCATTCACCCTGGTTTCTCTTGGCAGTCTGGTACACCTTTGAGATCACTGGTAAGATGAAGAGCCCAGGACACTACCTTCACCCCACTGATCAATGAAGTGGTTGTATTTGAGATGGCCTGTAAGAATGGGGTACCGAAGAACAGTGCAAGATTATCCAGGGCCGCAATTGCGGGAGTCAAGCATGATATGATGTTTTCCAAGCGATACAAAGTAAGAGGATGGTTGGAGGGCATTTGGGGAGTTTGAATGATTGATTAGCAGTCTTGGGTGCTCTCCTCGTACCTCATATATATGGAAGAGGCAGTGATGCTGTTAGTCGACTCATTTGGCATTATGAAACCTTAGAAGGATGTATTGCCCATAATATACTTTCGGGGTTACATCAAGTGCTACACCCAGTTCATTACAGATATGATCTTGACAGGTCCCAGACAGCGTAACGAGACTCGGACCAGAGTCGGCAGGCTATCTCCGTCAGTGCTATCTACATAAATTCTACATCCATCATCCTCATTATCATATTCCCGTTTACTGCCAAAAAACGAAAACCCACAGTGATGTATATCTAGATATCATAGTCCGTCGATGTGGATGTAATAACAGCAAGTGCCAAATATTTTATGAGTGGGAATTTCCACAAGATGGTGATTTAAAACCTTCGAGCATCTGGTTGGAGAATATACTCGAAGTTCAATACCGATCGGCGTGTGAATTTGAAGAGATATCAAATCTCATTGAATAGATATACACTGCGTTCAGACCGTTCCTAAACCAGCCGTTGGCTAGTTCCGCTGATGCGGACTAGCCGAGGATATTTATATAGCGTACATCCGACGATTGCGGGCGCAGAGGGAGGAGCGGCCTATCCACAGGCGCAGCTAGAGGCGTTGCTAATTAGAGGCATTACGCCCATCCAGCTATCGATTTCCATCGTGTCGTGCGCAAAGCCTTGCGTTCTCGAAGACGGGACCGTGAAGACGAGTGTGGGCTTCAAAACAAATGTGATGGCTTGACTTCGGACCCGGCTCCCGAAGCCGATCGTCGGCCGAAACGTCCCTGAGAAGTTGAACCTGCGGTTCACGACACTCAAACGCCGCGTCTGCAGGAAAACCCATTGGCAGGACTATTGATCGTATCCTAAGCATTCGCACCCCGTTCCACCAAAAACTAAAATGAAAAACTCAGATCCAGGCTCAAAATGACTGAACATAAACTATGCACCCGGCGGGGAATCGAACCCCGTCTCGCCGATTAAGTCGCCCACATATGAGACACAGGGACAGCGCGTGTACCATACACCACCGGTGCTTCCTCCTAGCAGTTTGGCCGTCGTTAGTTAAGTGCACGTACTGCATTCTCCGTAGCCATAATCACAACGGCTGGATGAACCATGAGAAGGAAGGTCACAAATGCAGGAGCGGAAATCGAATTTCGTCTCGCCTTCGAGACTACTGCGTCCGCCTGTGCTCCGTACCATCGGTGCGCTCCCCATCTGAATTTCCCCTCCTCATGTGTCTCAGATTCACTCTGATGATTGAAGATTCAACAAAAGGAGATGGATTACAGACGCAAATCAACCACACATCACCAGTGCTCCTCCCCCCTCCCCCTTCCCCATTAAGGTGCTACATTCATGGGTTCACCAGCTGGCTCGAATAACAAAATGTTAGGCAGCCCTAATACGTGTGCCAGAGATCCGCTGGTGAATGTACACATTCACTTCCCAGTGAGCCGAGGATGTCTGCAACCGGAATTGTCAATACTGCTCTGAATCCTCTGCTGAATACCGCACGGAATCAGGCCGCGACGGAAATCAGACAACCTACCTGCATACCAGTCCGCGATTAGGCAGCGCGGCGTGCGGGAGAAAAATTCAAATCAACATTTCTCATGCAGGGAATCGAACCCCGTCTCGCCAATTAACTCGACTACACCTCAATTACACAGACACGGCGTGTGTGCCATAAACCACTGGTGCTTTCTCCTAGCACTTTGGACCTCGTGATCTAGTAGTGTACATTTCTCGGAGGCTATAATCAAAGTCTTGGTTTGATAAAATTATAGGAAGGAAGACCGTGGTCAGAGGACGCAACATGATTCCGATACTAACCTACATACATACCAGTCAGCGATTAACCAGTTCCAAGTGCGGAAGAAAAAATCCACACCAAGCCGAATGCACTGGCGGGGAATTGAACTGCGTCTCGCCAATAAATGTATTACCAGTCCGCGATTAGGCAGTGCCCCGCCCGTGCGGGAGAAAAAATCACATCCAATATTCTTATGCACCAGCGAGGAATCGAACCGCGTCTCGCCGATCAAGGCCATCACAGCATGCACACATGGACGGCGCGTGTACCATACACCACTGGTGCTTTCTGCTAGCAGTTTGAACCGCTAGGTGCGCATGCTGCTGGCTATAATCAAAACGGCTTGATTAAAGCCTAGAAAGAAAGGCCACGGTTAGAGACATAGCGGGAATCCAGCCCCGTCTCGTCACCCACTGCCAAATAGCAATAGAATACCTTCCGTCCAACCCTCTTGTCTTTGATCCCCTGGTGCGGACGGAACAAAAAATCACCCGTCCAGACCGGAGAAGAAAAGTACTAGTCATTCCGACCATAGGCACCGGCGGGGAATCGAACCCCGTATCGCCCATAAATGTATGCAGATGATAACTGAACACAGGGACGGCGCGTGTACCATACACCACCGGTGCGTTCTCCTACCAGGACCTCGTCGGGCGTAGAATCAATCGCCTACTGGCAGATAATATGTTCTGGCCCGCACTTTCTCGTTTTGAGTCCTATCCGGTAAGCTGCCAATAGGCAGAGCCAGAAAAAAGAGCGGGACGTGTGAGACGCAATGCACCTCATCGTGCACAGACCACCTATGCGCGCGCGGAGAGTACAGCGGAGCGCAGGCGCACCAGACGCGCGCTCTGGCAGTGTCATCGCCCACTGCCTCTCGGAACAGCACAATGCCTCCGCAAAGCAAGGGGTGAAATCCAAAGGAAAAACGAATGATAGCAGAACAACGCACCTCCTCGCTGGACGATGACTTCCCCCTCCTACCCACTTATGTACATCGCTCCACTGCGCCTCTGCCACCCACGTACAGTACCCACGCGCATCGACACCCTTCTTCCAGCTGCCATTCCCAGTGCCCACCCGTCCGCCAGCGCCCGGAGCTTGTGCATCCGCTCCCATCGGAGGTGCCACGGCAGGAATAACAAGCGCCAGGGGATGGGATACCGAGCTCGGCGTCGAATGGGATACCGAGTTTGCTGTCGGATGGGGTACAGAGCTCGGTGTCGGACGCGGCTGCCGAGTGCGCTCTAGCGCGTCAACCGATGGAGGGCGCTCGGGAGTGGAGCGGGCGCGGGATGAGGGCACTGGGAAAGATAACGTTTCAATATGGGAGTGTAGCAGGGAAGGTAATATTAATAGGAAGAAAAGCGCGCAATTGGAAGGCGCAGGGAAATGCAAGGACGGGCGCGTGTGTGGGAAGGAATACAGGATGCAAGCGGCACATATGATACGGAGGGGTGGCGGAAAGCGGACGTGACGAGTGGCAACGTGGGATAAGGGCGAGACTGGCGGGAGAAGGAAAGGAACGACGCAGAACTGGAGGAGGAAGGATGCAGCTGGGCGGACGCGCGGAGCAAAGTGTATGGCCCTATCAGCAGACATCCGATGCATACGGTGTTTGACAGATATCTGTCGAGTTGAGATAAATTCATTGTCCCCCGGCTTTCAACCGCTAACCTCGAGGCATCTGAACGCAATTCCAACTGGCAACAGCGTCGAACGTCTAACATATCCGTCACCTCAAATGTTCATTTTTCTGGGTGTTCATTTCTCGGCAATCATCCCAACATTTTCATTTATAGTAATCCGGCGAATGCCGGACGCGGAATTTTCGCATTTTCGAGCCTATTTGGGCCTTAAAACACCGCCGTCACCGTCACATACACCAAGCTTGTTCAGTTCAGTGCCCTCCGTCACCCGTCACCTGAAAATTCGGTCGAAATAGTACAGTATGTTCTGCCTGAAAAGTGATGGACTGCGTTCAGCCGGGTTCTAGACGCGAGTTGCCGAGGTTGATGGAGGCTTGTACACGTGGTCTCGGCAGACCTCGGCAGACCTAGACGAGCAGTGTCTAGGTACATATGCACAAATAGACACATCCAAAGTTGGCGTCGAGGCTCCTACGCAAGCCTCAATCATTCTCGACACTTCATGTCTACTAGTAGAACCCGGCTGAACACAGTGATAGTCCTCATCACGATTAACCTTCCGTCCTAGCTGCATACCAAGAGGTGGCAGATCATCTAATCGCGCACATTGATCAACATACGTAACCTCCCCCTCCCCCCCAAATGCGGAATTCCCATCAATTCACGTCTTTTTGCGCCACTCAACAAAGCGCCGTGCTCCTCGACTCTTGCAACGCAGTAGGGCCTCTTCTGGCCCTACTATCGTGTCCGTAACTCTTCGCATGCGAAAGCACCCCTTGCTTTCGCCACCAGCGGCTAATGGAAACAAAATTCCCCGCTTAGTTTTGCAGATATTACAAGCTACTGCAGCCGGTAGGACAGCCTCAGTAGTTGAAGAGGATGTATTTCAGTAGTCATTAGCTACTAGGTACTAGTCTGCGAAGAGCGTCGAACGCTCCTCTGGTCCAACTGACAGTTTCTGCTGACGAAAATTCCAAAAGGAGCGAAAACACGTGCCGCTTTACGTATGTTGATCAATGTGCGAGATTAGACGATCTGCCACCCCTTGCTGCATACCACTAGCTAGTGCCACTCATCCACAGGACTACGCAGATCTCGGACCCGAGTACCGCTGCAGCTGGACATCATTACGCCCACCTAGACCAACGTTAGTTCACCCATGAATGTAGGAGCGATATTGTTTCTAAGGGTTGAATTTTTTACCCCCCCTGTGTTGTACGGCACACCCTCGCTCCTCGTACGCTGTTCGCTGAGGTTAAAGCGAACTTCTGGGCTTCGAATCCCCGTATCTGTATGCCTTTGCCGCCTCTACTGTATCTGTCTTTTTTGCCTAGTCACTTGAAATAAAAAAGAACACTGATGGTTGATACAGATGTGGTGTTTTAAATCGGGTGTGGTGTACGGTACACCCTCGCTCTACATAGGGCTTTATATACGAGCGAAGCGAGTGCCCGGGGTTTGACTCCCCGCGTCTGAACTTGTTTGGCTTTGTAAGGCTTTTCCCCCTCTCTGCATAACTGGGTTTGCGAAATGCCTCTCTTATTCTGGTACAAGCGAGGGGCAGCTCAAACGTGTTGTACGGAACACCCACGCTCTGCATACAGCAGTTGACTAAAGATCACACAGCGAGCGCCCGGGGCTCGACTCCCCGCGCTCGAATTCGTTCGTATCCTCGTAATCTGTTCATATCATCTATTCGGCCAACTGGTGACAAATGTCTCTTATACCGGTACTGAAGTAGGATTTCACTCAGACGTGGTGTACGTAACACCCTTGCTCTGCATGTCTATTGATTGAAATGTGAGGCGAGGCATCGGGATTCGACTCCCCGCGTCTGAATTAGCCTGGGGTCGTTCAAGTCTTTTCCCCCTGCTCCTCTGAGTCGTTAACGGAACCGTTGGAAAGCCTTCACTCAGGAACCCAGGTAAGAAAACAGCTCGGACGTTGTGTACGGGGCAACTTCGCTCTGCACATAATAGTTGCTACAAAGGTTAAAGCGAGGTACCGGGGTTCGACTCCCTGCGTCTGAATAGGGGTTGTATGTTTTTCATGACTAAGTTTACTGGCAAACAGTCCATTCATTTTGGTGCAGAAGTAGGAAGAGAGCTCAGACATGGTGTACGGAACACCCTCGCCCGGCATATTTTCGACGCCTATCGAATCAAAAGAGGTATCGGGCTCAACTCCTCGCCTCTCAATTTGTCTCAGTGGTCGCTTTAATCGCTCTCTCTTGATATTATTTGCTGCCAGCCAGTGAGAAATGCCTCTCTTATACTGGTGTAGAAGCAGAGGCTTGAATCAGACGTGGTGTACGGAACACCCTCGCTGCTTATTGAAGGAGTGTGGGTGAATAAAGCGAGGTATCGGGGTTCGACTCCCCGCGTCCGAAATTGTCTGTTTCTTGTGGTTGCTTTTTGCCTCCACTCTTCGTCAAATAAGTAGCTCACTTATGATTCTGAATCGGACGTGGTGTACGGAACACCCTCGCTGTTCATGTGAGTGTGAGTGTAGCGTTTCGTTTACATAACAGCGAGTCACCGGGATTCGACTCCCCACGTCTGAATTCTGAGATTTTCGACCATTTTTTGCCCTCATTGTTACAAACCTGCATACACGGAAAACCCTCTCTCTACATGCCTCTTTTTTCAACTCCCCCCGTATGATTGGGCCTTGTTGAGTTGAACCTTTTTCCATACTGCACTGATTATTTCTTCAACACCTCGTTTATTCCAGCAGGGGAATCAGACATCGTGTACGCAAAACCCTCGCTCTTCACGTTGTATCAGCAGCTTGAAAGAATAAAGTGAATACCGGGCGACTTCCCGCCTCTGAATTATTTTCCGTGGTTCATTTCTTCCGTCCTTTCGCAGAATTGAACAAATTTGGTTCATGTGTGGCAGGACTTTTGTAGAGTTCTGAATCAGACATGGTATACGGAACATCCTCGCCCTGCATCAGACTGAACAGTTGTAAAGCGAGTTTCGGGGTTCGACTCCCCCCGTCTGAATGGATGTTGGGGATTTTTAACTTCGTTATTTTTGGTCCTCGGTGGCCTGAAGGGAAGGAAAAACCACTCTGTACCAGACCAGATGCGAGGTTACGCAATTGGAAGTGGTGTGCGGTCCATCCTCGCTCCTCAACTCACCGCATGTGAATTTAGAGCTTAGACATGGTGTACGGAACACCCTCACTCAACATAGTAACGCAAAAACTCCTAAAGAAGGTGCCCACTCCCTGACGCTGTTCTCCACTCCAGATATATTTTTCAACTCACGGCTGATGGGAAAAAAAAATGATGACCAAATAGTCTACTGGTCGTATCCGGTTGTAATTCCATCAAAGCCATGCGCCCTGCCATCACCTGTTGCTTACACCTTGAGCCTGACCCAGTTTCAGCTTCACTTTAGCATTCAAATAATATCGGACTAGAAATCAATTTATATTTGAATATGAACTTGAAACTGAGCTTAGGGCTCACTTCCGTCGGATTGCAACTCAAAGTCATATTAGCTTCATGCGGCACTCTACTCAGACAGCAAGAGCGAGTAGAGTCCCGCATGAAGCGAGTACCTGGGGTTCGACTCCCCACATTTGACTTGCTTGTTTGTACTGTCTTTTTTTTTCATGTTCTCCAGATGATTTTTAACAAGGTCCAATCACTTTGGTACAGGAATTTGAATCCAACATGGTGTAGGCCACACTGTCTGTGACAGTGTGGTATATTACCATGCACTAATTAGTATGTCCATAGGCCTAGCACCCGATTAGATAGCTTAGTCACCAATTCCGCAGAATGCTCTGCCTTGGCTCTGCCACATTGAGTATTAGATAATCAGTCTATGCATACTACGACTTAACAAAATGTCGTATGTGCGAGTAATCTCGGAAACATCTCTCTGGCTGGGCACCCATATCTGCCCACCTCTCCAGGTCACAGGAACGAGCCTTACACAAGACACAGGATACAAGACACTTCATATTGACCCAACACCTGTCGCAGAATTACTGTGAGTAGACTGGACTTCATCCCACACTGTAAAAATCATAGCCTGTGGAAACTTATTGTGGCACCGTTTTATATCTTCTATTTGCTTCTCCCAGAACACGATTGCTTGCAAGGGAGGGTCCGGGAAATTCTGCATAATAACATCAGCATGTAATCGTCTGGGTTGAGGTCTCGTACCTGTAGCCAATCTAAAATGCGGTGGATATCTGGATGGAGTATGCCATGATGGTGTGCTGTTTTATGAGCTTCTGGCTTTATGGCCATCTGGCCACAAAGTCGGGAGAGGTCGAGAGTCTCCAGCTCGAATACTATTCTCGGACTTCTCGGCCATCGGTTGATGAAGTCGGCTAACCAGGTACTATCGTAGTCTGATTGTTGATCCCAAAAATCGCCGCCCCCAATCAGCAATTCTTTAACCCGAGAAATCCAAATCAGCACCAGTTCCTCGGCGGCATTTTGCGGGTCAGAATATATGTCTCCGGCTCTGCGAAGGTCGCTCAAAAAATCGAGGGGTGAGTCACCTTCAGGGAAAGGCAATTCAAGCAGTTCCCTGAATTCATGAAAGGGCAGAAACACGTGATGATTCCATGTTGGCCCAAGAATCCGAAAGATTTGATAGGGCCTTAGTGGAAGAAGGATCATAATCTGCACAACAAGGAGCACGTCGGGGTGATTGGAGAATATTGTTGTATAGATTGCATCAAACCGCAATGTCGGAGTACTTCGGTTTCTGCTCCGCCTCAGGTGTGGAATAAGGGCGAAGATGTATCGATAACCGTCCCAGAGTTGTATCAGATCTGATGGATAAGTTGAATCCCTCTGGCTCAAAAATGAATGAACCAATTCCAGGGTGATACGAATGATATACCTGAGGCCACATCGACACCTCCGCATAAAATAGTGAATGTTGGAACTCTTTCTGGCGCATGAGCCCAATTGAGAAGGCAGAGGGGGTCACATAGCTGAGGAGCATTGGCAATGCACACACTGCTTCCCTAAATAAAGGGTCACTTTCATGCGAGCTTCAATCTGTGCGGCTTACTTGTAGAGAGTCCTGAGCCAGTCACCCGACGCGAATTGCCTCGGCAGCGGAGAAGCCAGCAAGCGAATGAGACCGTGGAGGTAGTCGGCCTGTAGCCATTGCAGCGACACACACCACGGCCCAGATCTACGTGGATCGCCCAGATAATCTGAGAAGGATGCGTGCAAAACTTGTATGGTTCTCCGGGATGAAAACCGAGTTGGAATCGGTGGGACATTGAACAACGAGTGTAGCCCACGCAATACAAGACGGCATGTCCCACGACGCAGATTGAGGAGCATATCAATCTCTTCCGGATCCACATGCAATGATAAGTGTCCACCTCCGACTGCGCTTTGCCAGATGGTGCGGAGAATCCGAAGTTGCTGGTGCTCTCTTGCAAGCACCGAAAGAATCTCGGTATACAGGTCATCCAGTGGAGCTGTACTCAGCGGATCGAGGCGCAAAACGGCGGCCAGTCGGTCTTCTGGATGAGAATATTCATTGCTGACGAAGCGGATGATGGTAGCTGCGTATATGAATATCCCAGATGACTTCTGAACCAATTCATCTAGTGTGCTGGGCGTGGGCCAATCGGCTCCTAGATCGATCCCTCTGGCCATATATTCGGAATGAATGGTGGAAAATTCGTCCTGCAGATAAGTTCTAATATCGTGGTAGGCAGTTTTATCAGCAGAGAGGACGAGAGGACGACAGATGGTGAGTATCTCTTGTGTTTGTAGGACTTCCCGAAGGTGTGGTTCGGGGCGGCTGATTATAAGGACGCGTAGCGGGAGCCCCTGGTCACGAATCGCTCCAATGAAAAGCCGAAGGATGTGTTGCTGAGCTGTGTGATCCGCACATTCATCCAACCCGTCCAGGACGATGACGGGGATGGATCGAAGACCGGAGAGGTCTTTGAAGGGTTCGACGAGAAGCCGTTGAAACTGCACCGGGATCGCCCGACCACCAACGAGTTTGTCGGCCTCCATGGCCTGCTGGAGGGGGAGAAGAAATTCTGGTACAGACTTAACCAGTTGGTATGCAATGGTTGTGATTAGGCCATGCCATGTCCCACGCTTCGGATGACCGCGCCGAAAGAAAAACGAGGCACCAAGTCGGCCTTCTTTGTGACACTCCCCAGCAAACATCTGCGCAATGGCAGATTTGCCCATTCCCGCTGATCCGTGAAGCCACAGAAGCGCACTCTCGGGGCTCGTATCAACAGACCAGGAGTTCAGCTTGTGTATGATATCAGTCCGGGTCCCCGGATGGCAAGCGGGCTCTGGGAAGCACTCCACAGAGTCATGCAGAGCTTCGGTGACGACGGAGCGGTATAGTATGTCGATTCCTGCAATACATGTAAATGTCAGAGCATTGGGTGAGAAGACAAGTTTTTTGCGCACCCGACTCCCCGTACGAAGTGACACTGAGCTGTGTCATGTCACCGCCGATACTGTTGTAGGTGTTCCCCAATATAGTTTCCGGAAAGCTTGGGGGTGTATGTATGCTACGATGGACTGATCGCGTGGGCTGCTGAGACTCGACGGTGTCAAAGATGTGTCCCTGATTGTCTGAGTACGCTGGGACGAGATCGACGAGAGTGGGTATGTTATCATGACCTTCAGGTACATCGCGCCCATATCCATTTGCTACCGCTGAATTTTCGTAGCCATATTTGAGCCATTGCTCGCTGAAAAAAAGAAGCTTAAACTCACGATAAAATAGGCTACTATCCTGAAGCTGAGCTGAGTCAAACGCCGATATGGCCTCGTTATTTGGCCTATATACCGGCATAGTATGGTGCTGAGTAGGCACTATTGTAGTTCGGCTGGCGTGTATATAGCCCGAGGTGCTGTTGTCATGCCTGTACGGTAGCTCCGACTGGTGATAGCCATGTCGGTGGCCACGATCGGTAATAGCTGGGAGTGTATAAGACTTGGCTCGCCCAGCGCAAGGGGATGAGCTTACCATAGGGCAGCCCACTACCATGTCTTGAGGCTCTGTCTGCTCTAATCGCGCTAATTGAACCCGTTGTTGAAGCTACACGGAGTTAAGCATCGGTCCGCACTCATCTTTGGAAAGAACGTACGCAGCAAGGCATGTGTGTCCTCGACTTGTTCCGTGCCCGCTGATATCCCGGCGTGTGAGATGTGTGAGTTGAAGACCTGGGTCATATTTCCGGCGACAGTATTGAAGGTGCCGCCGTCGATGTGGGTACCGTTGAGAGCAAAGGACATCCTTGCTGTGGTGGTGGTGGAGAAAGGGAAAGAAGGATAAGTGCTGTAGTGGGCGCTTCTATAGAAGGCGGTGCGTACGAAATGAGTTAATACAGGTCAGCTGTCACATTTGACGCCACTGC